TAATAATATTGGTTATAATACGTGACCACTATTGCTTTTTGATGGATTATTTGCCATGTTTATCAAGGTCATCATCGTCGTCGTCATCATCCTCTCGTCGTCATCATCATCATCATCATCATTTTTATTATCATTACCATCTACTTGCTAATCATCATCATTAATTTTAATGCGAATAATTCTAATACTTATTCCAAGTTGGTTAAAAAATTAAGAAATGAACTGAAAAATTATTATCACTATTACAAACTCGTACAAAACATTGACATCAGTCTTCATACAGTTCAGTTCAAATCATTTAGAATAATCTTAACCAACAAAAACTTCAACTCTACCTTACATGTGTAAGAGCCAGCCAGATATCCCATGTAGATTCAACAAAAAATAAAAAGGTTTACAAATTAGAGGAAGATACATTTATCAAATCAAATAATAATTAAATAATGATGATAGTAAAAAATATAAAATAATAATAATTATTATTATTTCATAAAAATAATTATATAATTTTATTATAATTTAATTATATTATAATTTTATAATAATAATAATTATTATTTTATTATTTCTACTGCTAAATGATAACACTTTGAGTAAGAGATTAAACATAAAACAAGAATGATGTTAGCCTAATCTAACTGAAGAGGAGAAAGACATTTACGTGTTTGCATGATGTGTTGTTGTTGTGTTGTTGTTGTTGTTGTTGTTGTTGTGCTGTTATGCTTTTGTTGTGCTGTTGTGTGCATCATTTGCAACATGATGACATGATAATGATAAGGATGATGACGACGACGATGATGATGATGGTGATGATGAAGATGACGGAAAAGCTGTTGAATAGATTATGCTAATTCATGATAAAAAAAAACAGAGAATGGTAATGATAAAATAAATGATATGTTGAAGAGAAGAACGATTAATATGATCTAAAGATAGATGAATGTCTGATGGATACCCCAACAAACACCTGATAGCCAGTAAACACTTGCAAACAACACCACCAAAAAGTCCTATGTACATTAACAACTGTTTTAACAACACCACAATAATAACAACAACTACTACAACCGAACTCTGCAATGATAGATAAAAAATTCAGTTAACCTTATTTTTTTTATAGGACTGATAACTCCAAATGTGCATCTTATAAAGAAGCTGATGATTTCTGCATGTATATCACGTACGTATGTTGTATGTGTTTATGCACATATCCATGTTGTTTATCTAGTTGTTAATGTTTACGTTTAAGCTTGCACGTTTGTATGTAAAGTATTATGTTTAAATTTGTTTCACACGTGTGTGTATGAGAATATTAATGTATTTGTTGTTGGCACGTTTTAAGAACTTGTTTATACTACACATATGTGTGTATGTATATGTATGTATGCATGCATGTGTGCGTGTGTATGTATGTATGCATGCATGTGTGCGTGTGTATGTATGTATGTATGTATGTATGTATGTATGTATGTATGTATGTATGTATGTATGTATGTATGTATGTATGTATGTATGTATGTATGTATGTATGTTGAAAGTTTGTGGTTAACACGTCTGCACGTGTGTTAATGAGAACGTTTATTGAGTGCATTTATTTATAGGATGTCTCATTTTTTACAATCACTCTGCAGTGAAACGAGGCTGATGTGTGCAAACTTGTAAGAAACCATATTCATATGTATGTGCGTGTGTGCATGTGTATGTGTTTGCGTGCGTGTGTGCGCGTGCGTGTGCGTGCGTGCGAGTTTGTTATTATCAATAAAAAACAGTTTCGTAATTTGTGCATCCTAATTGGAAACTCTTCTTATCTCCAGAGCTTTTTATTCCCACTTATTGTTGAGGAGGAGGAAGACGACTACGACGAGGGTAATGATGCTGGTGGTGGTAATGATGAATAGAGGATGATGGTGACGATAGTGAAGACGTTGATAATGATGGAAAGATGATGGTGAAGAAGAAGATGATGATGGTGAAAAAGATGTAGAAAAAGAAGAAGATGATGATGATGATGAATCACGGTGGATCACGATGACGATAATAAAACCCAAAAAGTGTGGGGAAACCATGATGATGTTGAAAAGCAATAACGTAATTAATAACATAATACCATCAGATAATTCTCTACTCACAACACAGCACACCTGACTTGGTGCATTGTATTGCATGCATTCACGCTGCACTGAATGAATGGATGGAGGGATGCTGCATCATTCGTTCTTGTAATCTATAATTTAATTAAACCAGCTAATTGGATAATTTTACTTCTAATTGATCTTGGCTAACTAGAGAACATACAAATTTTTGTGGGTTACTTTGCGGATAATTTTGTGGAATTTTGAATAAAAAGTGAATGAGACGGAAAATTTTTTAAACTGGAATCGGACGAAGAACTTGCATGTGAGGAACTTGACGGTTGGAATGGAATGGAACAACCTTTTCATGCAGGTTCGCGCGAGGTGACGATGACAGTCAAGGTCGACTATAACTCCAGTACTAATGTTGTAGATGGAAATAATAAAACTAAAAAAAACTATTCTAAAACACCCATGGTGCAATAGATTGAATGAATGATATAAGATTTAATTAAATTGAAAAGGTAAAAAATTATTTAAAATTTCATCCTTACTGACTATGCTCTCTATGAACTGATGATGATAATGATGATGGCGGTGATGATGATAATGATGATGGTGGCGATGATGATGATAATAATGATGATAATGATGACGATGATAACAATTATAATTTTAACGACGGCGATGATGATGATGATAGTGGTTAAGATAATGATAATATTATTTCTGCTAGCTGACTCATCATCTCACATACACTAAAAGTGAGCGTTGTTGTTGTTTCGCTTTGAATTTAT